TAACATAATATTTCACCAATGAAAATGTAAACAGAACTCAACAGCAGCATTAACAACCATTATTCCTCCCAAATTTGGTGGGGGGTGCATCTTATAGTCTGAAAAATATGGTAGGTAGAGGCATGGATTATAATGTCATCAGAAACAATAATTTCATAAGTTTAAGAAAATAAGTGATTTGCATTTAAAAAGTCTGATATTTTCATAAAATTATTTGAATTTACAGATACTATAAAAGGGAGGACCATGGAGAACAGCAGTATTAGTTTTTTTTAGTATATTCAACAACTGCACTCTAAAATTAGTCTTGATACATTATTATACAAGTTAAGAAGTATATTATTATTTTAAGGCTATTTCTAAAAGCCCTTTAAATGGTGATTTAAAAGTGAAAAAAATCTCACTCTGGCTCAGTAGATTGAGCACCGGCCTGTGAACCAAAGGGTCATGGGTTCTGTTCCTAATCATGGCACATGCCTGGGTTGCAGGCCAGGGCCTCAGTAGGGGGCATGAGAGAGGCAACTACACATTGATGCTTCTCTCCCTCTCTCCCTCCCTTCCCTTCTGTCTAAATAAAATCTTTAAAAAAGTGAAAAAAATTCTATAAAATATATTGAAATAAATCAATATTTTTAAAATTGTAATTTTTAGATGTGAGAGGATTCAGAGTAAATATAAGCAACTTTCACCTTAGTAAGATAATCATATAATGTTTAATAGAACTCCAGAAAGGACTTAAAAGAAAAATTAATGTTTTTTTCTCGTTAAAATATAATACATGCTTCTTGTATTATTGTAAAAAAGAAGACCACGTAAACAACTGCAGGTATGTCTCCCAACTACGAAACCAATGACAGTGCTGATAACATTTGCTGTGTACTCATCACTGCATATATCCCTTTCCCTCTCTGTCCTCTCAAAATAAATAAGGCTTTTTTCTTTTTGTTTAACATTTGCTACTTAAACTTTGAATAGTTTTAGAAACATATAACATATACGTATATTATCAACGTGATCACTCTGTCATTATCATTGTGACCATTTTACTATTGTTGGACATTTCATTTGTTTCCAGATTTAGACATTAAATGGCATTTTGTAAAAGTTAATATCAATAAAAATTCTTCTGTTCACTCTACCAATGGAATATTTTTTGAGTGAGTGAATGAGTGAAATATTGGCACACTTCCACATGTCCCGGACCCTAATTCACACATTTAGTTCACTGTCTTCTGTTCACTTGTCTATTAACATCTAATCTTTCTACTTTTTATATATCTACAATTTTCTAGAAGTAGATGTGAATTGGATTTCTGGAAAAGATATGCTTACAAAAGTAGTGTGTTATTTTCTAAAATTATAGAAAAGGAACTGTATTTTTATAAACAAAATTACCTTTATAGATTGTTTACTTTGAGGGGTCTTAATTTAAAGTAGGAGAGAATATTCCAATACATTACATTGTGAATCAAAAGAGAGATTCTTTTCAAAAGACATTCTTTCCATTGTGATGCACTACATTGTTGGTGGGGGAGGCAGATCTGCAGGTAATTCTGACTGTTTCAAGGGTGAGGACCATCCTGTAGCCAAAAAACAGATGCCCAGAGAACAGTTAACTGGCCCAAGTTTGAGATGTTGTTAATGCATCAGAGTATAAACAGATCTCCTGACATCTCACTTTCCACTATGCCTTTTCATGACGTTTTGTAAGTACCATTATGTTCTTTCTCATAGATACTATCTTTTGAAATAAGTCTCAAGGTTATATAAGCTTGAGAACACTGTGTTAAAGAGATTTTCAGTGACGCATACTTCAGAACCTTTGGTATGCTGAAGCGCTTTCCTATATTCTCTTCATAGAAAAAATATAACAGGCAGCATTTTCCCAATTTATTTCAGGATGGAGCTAATCCCTGGCCTAGAGTATGATAAGGGGCTGTTGTCTTTTGAAGCATCCTTCGACAAATATTATTTGTCGTATTACCATGGGCATGCATGGTGATACTAAAACCGTCTTATACATGGAGGGTAGAAAATTAAGGTATCCATTAAAATGCTTATTACTAATCAATCCTAATTTTTTCATGAGTAGTTCTACTAAATAAAAATGTATGCCTAAAAATTTAAACTACTGATACTTTGAAGCTCTGGACTTCCAATTTTCGTGTTGATCAGAATCACCCAGAGGGCCTGTCCAACTGATTGTTCAGCCCCTCCCATGGCCTTTCTGAGTGACTAGGTCCTGAGTGGGGCCCGAGAGCCCGCATTCCAGGAAGTCCCCACGAATGCTGACGCTGCTTTTGCCAAGGGCCACACTTTGAGAAACCACTGCTTTCAAGTCAATGTTGAGACTTTTTATTAATCCCAGATGTTTGCAGCTGAGAATAATAATGACATTATCTATCAGCTGGAACCCTCTTTACATCCATGTTTTTAGTGAAAATAGTTTGTTTTTACATGCCTTTCCCTTATTCAAGTCATTAGTGCCCAGGAATAGACAACCATAGAATTGAGGGTGAATTTTAAAGTGCATTAAAATTCACAGCTGAATCCAAGACCAAATCCCAGTCACCATTTTCATTCTTTCCTTTGTTAGTCATTGCAATCAAGGCAAGTGTGTTGGGTTAAGCATTTGTTGTTGCTGTACAGTTTCTCTTCCTTGTAACCTTCACCTGTTTCACGTCCTTCACGTTACACATGCTTAACCTCTGTTTTAGATGAGAGTAATTTGTGATTTTCGCATGTAAGTATGGTGCTAAATTTTGGACTTTCAACACTTACTGTTTTGTTATTCTGCATATTCAGTCCATTAAGAGAGGAACAATTATATCTTTGTGGTATTCATATAAATAAAAAATACTGGTCTGTATTCAAATCTTTTTATCAGTGGCAAATGTTACAGTTCAAATCACATGTACTCACATGTATGTGCACACACACAGTCATAGCTGACTAAACCGTAGATTTTACTATGTAGTTCTCTCCCTTCTGTGGAGTGGAGTGTATTTTCCTATTTCTCTCCGTGATGTATGCACCACAATGTTCATAGCAGCACAATTCACAATAGCCAAGAGCTGGAAGCAACCTAGGTGCCCGTCAGTAAATGAATAGATCAAAAAATTGTGGTACATTTACACAATGGAATTCTATGCAACAGAGAGAAAGAAGGAGCTCCTACCCTTTGCAACAACATGGATGGAACTGGAAAGCATTATGCTGAGTGAAATAAGCCAGGGGTTGAAAGACAAATACCATATGATCTCACCTTTAACAGGAAGCTAAACAACAAAACAAACAAGCAAGCAGAATAAAAACAAAGACACTGAAATAGAGAACAAGGGGACAGTGACCAGAGGGGAGAGGGGAGGGAATTTCGAGGGGAAAAAAGGGGGAGGGATTTGGAGGAACAAATATGAAGGACACAAGGACAAGAACTAAGGGGGGGAAATGGGAGGGAGGTGGGGTGCATGGGGGGGGCTGGGATGGGAGAAATAGACAGAAAACTGTACTTGAATAATAACTAAGTAAAAATTTAAAAAAATAAAAATAAAAAGGATTTGGTCATGAACTGTTAAATTGATTTTATTACCTAATGATCGGTCAGACCTACACCTCTAGAAGCCATGGCTAAAGAAATAAACCTTGTTGCTCATATTTGTGTCTAAGTAATCTTTCAGTGTTGCAATTTCTCTAGAGAAAAAAATGAACATGTTCAGGTGCTTGCATATATAAAGGTATTAAAATATCTCAAGATACTAATGTGCTATCACATGAATTTCCAGAGCCACGTGGAAAATCAAACATTGTCACTTCTTTGTAGACCTGCTGACTTTACGTTGTTGCACATGCTCCCAGCCTCCACATGAAATTGGTTGTCCACTTAGGTCTTTCCCATCCTTTATCATTTACATCACTGCAGTGTGCTGCCAACATAATAAAATGTGATTTTCCTTCAGTTTTGTTTTGAGGAGGTTACCTTGGGAATGGTAACCTCCTCAAAAGAGAGAGGTTACCACTTTAGAGAACATTAGTCTCTAAAATGAATGAGTTGATAATGTAGGTCTGAATTTAATGACAAAAATTAGGGAAGAGTTAAAATAACTGTATTTGAACTGAAAAATAGTTTAACACAACTAGCCAAAATCAATTATTCTAAAGATGCATTTTGAATAAATGAGTGAGACTCTTGCCAGAGGAAGGCAACAGGCAACTCAGTATCAAAGGCGTAGTTTGAAGAGAGAGAAAAATGAATCTTCAGTCTTAAACTCCTGTGGGGTTTTTCTGAATCATTATTGATTGGATCTTGGCTCCTATCTTGCAACAGAAATTGTTCAAGTTAGGATTTAATTGTACTTGGGACACAGATTGTTCAAGTTAGGATTTAATTGTACTTAGGAGTTACAGTAGATCCCTTCTAGCATACTTTCTTTTTTAAAACAAAATGACGTTCACCAGGGACATATACACAAGTCAAGGAGACATGTCATAAAGTAATCTTCTATAGCTATCTTTTTGTGGTCATGTGTGCTATGGGTTGTCAAAACCAGGATTATCCTCTACTGCATAATATAAATTTGGTAACATAAAAATGGCATTTCCTCCACAGGGACAGTTTTAATTTGGTTATATATAAAGACTCTTATCCTGAAACCTATATGCTGCTATTAACCCATGTCACTCCAATGAATTTAATAAAAATAACAAGAAAACAATCATGATACTTGCCCTGTTCTTTAAATATACATTTTAGTAAGTACTGGATGTTGGGAAGCTCTGGTTCTGTCAGGATGACCCTGAGGAGTGACTTCACCATTGAGGATATTAGGAGAGAAGTTCGGTTATGATGTGAATAAATCTGATGCCATCTTGTACTATATTTTAGCATATTCTTTTGGTTCCTTTTTTGAAGAACATGCATTTGGCAAATGATGTGAATGTGAGAATATCTGTGTTGGCATAAGTTTTAACATTCTGTTTATTGTCCATCTTTTCCTATAAAGCCTGAAAAAAATGACAGTGAGCCAGGGAGCCAGAGGATAAAACCCATTTTTATTGACGATGCTAATTTTGGACGACAAGTGTCCTATCAGCACGCGGCAGTCCATATTCCCACCGACATCTATGAGGGCTGTAAGTAAGAAAATGTGAACTGTTCAAATACCATGTGCCTACCTATCTTATGAATGTCACTTCTGTTTCAAAAAGCAGCTAATGTGATACTTTTATTTGCATGTAATTAAGAATCCATGGTAAATTCTGATTTGTGCAAAAGAAACAGCCTGATTTTCATGAGCCGTTTATGTCCCAGACGGCCTCACTAGAGAGACATTTGCAGGAGAGTCTGCCTCTGTGGAGATGTTCTTCTACTCTGTTTTTTAGTAAATAATTCTGCCTTTTCAATTGACATCAAAAACTAAAAAATTAATAGGTATATTCTTTAAAAGTCAAAACTATGTTGCACAAATGCACACATGCAAATATTCTTACACACACACATATAAACTGGCAAAAGAGAGAGATGCATGTACATTTTAGACTCTCTGATTCTTACCACATCTTATCACGCTTTTAAGTCTTTCTCACTGTGTCTCTCTCTCTGCCTAACTTTAGGATATGGGTCAAAGATACCTCCCTCCCGATGTGCTGTAGGCTCAAGATAAAAAGAAGTGTTGGGAAAAAGGAACCCACAAGAGATCTTTTCTTTCTATAAACTCTTTTAAGATATTTAATATATGATATTTCTTTACATAGATATTAAATGGTATGTATAGGTAGTTTTTGATGTATCATGAGAATTAAATATTTGATATGTTTTTTTTACAATTCAATTTATCCTATTAATTGTAAATCCTTTGAGAAATTACCTGGGATTTAGATTCAGATTTTTTTAACAACCAGTAATGTTGTTCTTTACCAAAGAATTATTTGATACGTGCAATGATATTTTGTAACTATTATAGCAACAATTAGCCAATGCTGACCTCTGTGGTTATGTTCTTCTATTACAAAATATTTCATCCCCCTTATTTTGTTTCAGATGTTATTGTTTGTTGGGTATGTCAACAAGATAATAATCTTATTACTCTTAAATTTTGTCTTTCTATTGAATTTATATTACAAGAGCAACCTGGATGAATAGATATACAAATCATGAGTCAAAATAGTCTGTTGCCAGTACTCTGTGGATAGCATGGCTCTGCTTTTCCTCTTTTATTACTATGTTGAAAAAAGTTGAATCCAACTTGAATGTTTTTATTGTGTTGGGAAGCTTTTATGATGGTGTTTCTGTTTTGTTGCCTCTTCTGAATTGATGGCTATTTCTGAGAGCTTTGCCTCTGCACCCTTTTCCTCCCCTCTCTCGCTCCCTTCCTTGTCTTCCCCTTCGCCACAACCCCATCCATTCTTTGTGGGATGTGGGCACCTTTGCCTAGAAGGACTTGAGAAGAGGAGAGCTTGAGTTCCCTTTCTTAGCCATGTAGCTCCAGACACAGCATTTTGGCCCTTTCATGGCACACAGACTCAGCTGACCTTTCCCCACTGGGCTATTCGCACTCCAGTTCTCTCCCTTCAGATATACAAAATATTTAGTGAGGCTCTTCACACTCACTTTCCCTTATATTCATGCAAGAAGCAGTTTCTTTGCCACTTTAAACTGATTTTTCTTGAAATTCAGGCAGTCCACTAGTGATGATCCAGAAATCCTCAAATCTTCTCTTTTTTGCCATTTTTATTTAATAATTTTCAAGTACAGTTTTCTGTCTTTTACTCCCATCCAAGCCCACTGCCCTGTGCTCCCCACCTCCCTCCCATTTCCACCCCCCTTAGCTGTTGTCCATGTGTCCTTTATACTAGTTCCTCTAAATCTCTCCCCTTTTAAAATTCTCAATGAAAGATACCAGGACTACTTCACACCTTCTTCTTCTAAAAGCCATGCACCAAGGCAGCAAAAACTTGAATGTTGCATACATAATTAACATAGAATATGAAAATCTCCCACAGTAGGTCCACGTGAAACTAGTCATGGTTACCAGTTTGAGGCATAGAACTACAGAATACTTTTTTAAGTGCAGATACTGACTAATAAAATAACTCAAATGGGATTTTTTACACTGTTCTTCAGTTGCCTTTTTCCTCCAATTTATAGTAGATAAATATTTTTGTTAAACTAGTAAAGAACTGAATAAGTCAAGATGAAAATGTTTGCTTCAGGAGTAGATTACCCAGAGAATATAACAATGAAATTACTTTGCTTAATTTTTTAATAGAATGCTATTTAAGAGACACAAATAAATGAAAATACACTTATTTTTTGCACAGATAAGTAGAACTCAAACTAATTAGAACATAATTTACCAGGCTGGTAAGTTATTTTGTGCATACATTTTATGAATACCATAGGTCAATAGACCCCCTAATTCTATTGACCTGATTAATAACAATAATAATCATTTATTGGATTTACTGGATGCTTGACTAAGCTTTTTTAATATAATAGTTTATTTATATACTATAACTTTGTTAAAATAAATAATTTTGTAAAAGGGGAGGCTGGGGTGGAGTTTTTGTATTTATTGCCATGTTATTGTTCATATTCTTTATCTTTTTTTTCTTCTTAAAGAAGACCATTTATCATTTCACATAATATTGGTTTGATTGTGATGGACTAATCTTCTAGGCTTTTCTTTTGTGGGAAGTTTTTATCTCTTCTTTGATTCTAAATGATAGCTTTGTTTGGCAGAGTAATCTTAGTTGTAGGTCCTTGCTTGTCTTCGTTTTGAATATTTCTTGCCAGTCCCTTCCAACCTGCAAAGTTTCTGTTCACAAATCAGCTGAGTCTTATGAGAGCTCCCTTGTAGGTCACTAACAGTTTTTCTCTTGCATCTTTTAAGATTTCAGATTCTCCCTTTTAAACTTTTTAATTATAATTCTGCTGTGTTGGTGTGGTTCTCCTTGTATTCATCTTGTTTGGAACTTTACCTGTTGTATCCATCCTTAACCAAGTTAGAGAAGTCTTCTGTAATTAATTCAAGTAGTTCTTCAATTTCTTCTAGTCTCTCTTCTCCTTCTGGCACCCTCCATGATGCAAATGTTGGTATGCTTGAAGTCTCATAAGCTTCTTATACTATCCTCACTTTTTTAAATTTTATTTTGTTGCTGTTCTGATTGGGTGTTTTCTGTTTCTTATATTTTAATAATAAGAAAGGTACTGGGCACACTGAAGCCAAATGTTGCTTACTTAAGAGATTTTAGGAAGATCTGAAGCATGAGCCAACATAGGTCATGGGTATGGAAAAGACACTCAAACAGCTTGAGTAAGCCTGAAAGTTGGGTGGGTGGGACGTCAGCAAATCACCAAGGTGGGTCAAACAGTGTGTCGAGATGCAGCTATGGCACCTCCCTTCCAGATTTGTAGGGAGGGGGAAAAGGAATAATGGCCTCTCCCAGCACTTCTATCTGGGAGAAGGCTGTCCCCTCAGCTTTTGTCCTTATGCTAGATAATTCATTTCCTCCCCATGTGTCTCTGGTACCTTTTAAGCTGCTGCCCCAGTGCTGCAGCTCTGATAGAGTGAGCCCAAGAATCTGAGGAAGTTCATGTTTGGGACCTGTAAGGGGAACAGCCTGGCACTCTAGAACCTTCTGTCTTCCTGAGCCTCAATCCCTCTGGTTTTCACAGCCAGAAGTTGTAGAGATTTATTTCCCTGGCACTGGGACCCTGGGCTAGGCTGCAGGGCCTGGGGCTGGGCCCCCTCACTCCTCAGGGGGGACCTCCACAGTTGAGATGTCCCCCCAGTTTTTTGTCTGCACATGTGGGTGTATGACCAGCAAATCCACATCTCTGCCTGTTTCTTGAGTCTTGATGTAGCTTCTTCTTTGATTTCCTAGTTGTAGGACTTTTGGCCAAATTTCAGCTGATTTTGAATGATCATTGTTCTGTAGTTTAGTTGTAATTTTGATGTGGTTGTGGAAGAGGCCAAGTATCACATTTATTGTGAAGTATCATAAAGTTGATGAAGTATCAACTTTACTCTTCTAATTCTGATCATTTATTTTTGGGTTAATTTTGACTTGGAAATATTAGGGAACAAAGATTACATCCACAGAAGGTAGTAATAAATACTTACATATGAGAATCTTCATTTTTTATTATGTTGCTATCTTTATTTTTTCGTTGAAAACATTCATAATTAATATATACATTGATTTTATACTGACATAAATGCTGACACATAAAGTAAACATAAGCATACTTTTTTAACAATATTTTCACACCTTATTTCAATATCCTATAAGGTTTTTTGACTTTGTATAAATGTTTTTCTTTCCAATTTTGAATAAACTATTTGCCAACAACTTCAGATGATGGTTATAACCATCTTAGATAATTAAAAATATTGCTTTACTTGGAAAATTCATAAGAAAGAAAACTAAATGGATATTTTCAAAAGTCATGATACACTTTGGTATATGACATACTTTTTTTTAAGGTAACAAAGTTCTGTTTTTGGATTATTTATTTAGTGCCATTGATCTTAATATTGGCTTTTCCCTTCTTGCTGAAATCTCATCAGTGAGCCTCTGACCCTGCTGGCCTGTACTCCTTTAAAATGTGTATCCAGTGGTACCAGCTGTGTGCGTAAAGGACACATGAGTGCAATCAGAAATGTTAAGATCTTGAAGATTTAAGAATTACTGCTATTCTTTAGACAGTTCATGAGAACACATCAGATTTCCAGAACTTCTCTAGGTTCTGAATTTAAGAAATGTGAACATGCAGTTTAATGGAGGGCTGAACTGAAGAAAACAGCTTCTTTCATTAAAAGACAGTTGTATAACTACGTTCTCAATAAATCTCATGTTCTAATTTTCCAAAGGTGATTACTTTAGTCCCTTGAATGCAAATGTGATCATTTTTGCTCAATAATATATTTAAATTTTTAGAATAGTATATTTAATTAAAACCCAATCTGAAAATATTCAGTGCTGAGAATTTCATAGGTTGATACTTTTAGGTTAGAGGCCATAAAAATCATACTTAATTTTCAGATTTAATTTATCTGCTTAACAGTATGAAAAGTAAACATACAACTCAGTAAATAAGGGCTGATTCTTCAGACTTAACATGGTTTTAA